CGGCGAGCATCATGAAGGTTCGATATAAACTGCCTCGATATGGGCCGGAGAGCCGTTGTCGGTGAGCAGTAGAGGAACAGCAGAAGGAGGCACGTTGTAGTGCTAGCATGAGCGCGCAGCGCGCCGTAAGGGACGGTGGTCGAGCCCGCGATTCTAGGATAATTCGCGCCAGCCATTATGTGCAATTGTGACTCGCGTAGCTTCTTATCATAGGCTAGGATAAGGCTTATATGCGTTTCTAGCGAGGAAGTTGAGATGAAAGGGAACGTATAGAGATGGAATAAATCATGGAGTTTGACCTTCCTATATATCTCGTGCTGAACCTTTGCCTATCCGTAAATAAGCGCAAGCAACGTATGCGCTGAATGTAAGGGCGTATTTCGGGTTTGGGGCATGAGCACTGTTCAGGCACTGTACAGGGCATCCGCAACAACCGCATGACCCAAACCCAAGCACCAAAGCGCGCGCGACTCGAACTTCGGGTCATGCTCAACATTGCATGCGACCGTCAAACAAAAGGTGGAGCGCACCAATCACAGAGCTGCGCGACCCCATGTAGAGCAACCTCTGTAAATCGGCCGTTCGGCGCGATGTGCACGCCCGTCAATGTGGCGTGTACACCACACCCTTAGTAAAACAACTTAATCCTCGTAACAATCACAACATCCAGAAGCCAGACCAGCACACTACATGCAAAGACACACAAACCGCCCTGCTAACAAGCACAGCCACCACCACGCCCGTGTCGCCAGCTCCGCCAGCAAGGATGCAGGCAAGACACCGTACTGAACCATCTCTAAAGGGCCGCCAGGAAGCCAGTCGGCCAAAGCCGCTGTGGCCATAAAACATGCTTACCCCACAGGTACTCATTCTATGTGTAGCATTGCACCTCTGGCATGAGTACGTGCTCAACACCTGGCAGCGTGTAGTATCCCTCGCCGCACTAGAGTGGATAACCACTATCCTACCGATGGCCCAAGCCGAGGATGAGGAGCGCCAGCGACGTGCGACTGCGCGCCGCGAAAGCCGCCAGCGCCGTCGAGAGGCACGTGTGGCGGAGTGGGTGGAGGAAATTCGCGCTATGTTTGACGAGGAGTTCGAGGACACCTTCCGGATCACGCGGGAGGTGCTCGACCTCATCGCGGAGAAGATGGCGCACCCCATGTCCCGTTTCGTCGAGTACAACAACGTCCCGTTATCTCTCTGTTGCCTGATTCCCATCAAGTACTTTGCAAGTGCCATGACATATCACGACATGAGTTTCATGTTCGGTTTGCCCAAGGGTCTCATTCATCGCATTGTGGACTGCTTTTTGGTGTGGTTCCCCCGCAAGTTCAAGCGTGACTGGGTTCAATTCCCTTCTGAAGAGTTGCGTGAGGAGATGGCGCTGGACTTCCGCGCCATCAAGGGCGTGCCGAACGTCATTGGAGCAATCGACGGCACACAAATCGAGATACGCGGTCTGGATGCTCACCGCAGCGACTACTACAACCGCAAATCTGTATACAGTGTACAGCTACAGGTCACTTGTGACTCGAAAGGGATCATCTGGGACTACACAGTGGGCAACCCCGGGTCTATGCATGATCAAGGTGTTTTCTCTACCTCTGAGCTACATGGCAGGCTAGAGAGCGGCGAAATCGCCCCCTATCAGCTGGTTGGGGACGCGGCATATCCTCTGAAAAGCTACATGCTAACCCCCCTCCATGCTCCCCGCCGCCGCCTAATGAAGAAGTGGGAGAACACCTTCAACTACGTCCAATCGGCGACGCGGATGGTGGTTGAGCGCACGATCGGAGCACTCAAGGGTCGATGGAGGCTCTTCTCACGCCGGCACGAGAGCAAGCTCTGGCGCGTGTGTGGCGGGACCGCCTGCATCATCATCCTGCACAACATGCTGCAGGTGGTCAGCACCCCAAGGATGAGGACGTTCAATCCCCGCCGCTTCATTTGGGCGGGGCTACCAAATGGCTGGTGGACAAGAAGCGGCATGGATCGCTACCAATGGGAGAGCCTGGACAACCCGACTCTTACCGAGCTGCGCGTCAGGCGCCGCCACTTCGGCAAGCATATCCACAGGGCTTACCTTAGGCGTCGCCGAATGCCCAAGAGGCAGCGCTAAGGCGCTGGCTGCTCGCCCGCCTCATCTGACCCGGCCATGGTTGCGTCTCCTTCCTCCGCTGTCGGCGGCGGAGGTGGGGTGGTGGCTGGCGCATCTTGAGGAGCTTGCTGGGCGACCATCTGCAGGCGCAAGCCTGCCTGCAGCGCCGCCATGTTCATCGCGGCGACAAGGACCTGCGTTGAATCCTGGAGCTGGCGCACCACGTTCACGTTGGTGGAGTTGATAGCGTCGGTCACCAACCTAGCTGCCGCCATTGTCGCAGTATCCTGTACACGCCGTCGTTTCGGTGGAGGGGTGATTGCCGTTTCTGTAGGGGTGGGAGTAGGGTGTGTCGGTCATAAGGCGGCCTTTCATGTCGTTGTTTGCCTGTACCTCCCTTGTCTGTCAATGTTTTGGAACATTGGAAACTTGACATTTAAATGAGTGTGTTGTATAAGAGACACACTAAACCGCTCGAGTATTAGCACATTTGTCGCATTGGTAAGATATAACCTAAACAGTAGGCGCATACATGAAATCAGAGCACTGACCGATGTCTGGTGTTTGGCGGCGTGTTCCACGCTGTTGCGCCTGGGCCGGCGGAACCAAAGTCTCCCGGTCGTTGGAGCCGGGGACAGTTGCGTACGCCGCGACGTCAACGCTGGCGGCGCCACCGCCGTCCAAGGCGTGGGGCTTAGCTTTGGCCGAGTGTTTTTTCAAGTTGTACACGTACTCCCACCAGGGCTTCTTCTTCACGGCTTTGCCTCCGCTTGCCGATTCTCCCCGCTTCGTTTTGAAGTAAAGCTTCTCGAGGCGTTTCCACGCATTAGACATCTGCCCCTCGTCGCGGTTCCACCCCGGTTCCCCCTCGACGATGTGGGCGTGCAGCTTCCTCCAATACTGGCTGCCCTGCTTGCCCTGCATCGCTTTGAGATCGTCCTTCGTAGTCCACTTGGCGGCGGCGAGGGTCGTCAGCTCCGCATCTGACCACTTCCTCTTGTTGCTTGACGGTTTAGGTCGTTTCTCCTTCTTCGACGCTCGTGTGCTGCGATCGTCGCGACTCCCTTCGCCGTCGAACTCTCCCTCCTCGTCGTCCGTTGTGTCCTTGTCGTTACCGGAGTCGTCATCGCTTTCCGATTCCGAGACGATCTCCTCGAGGTCGTCATCGCTGACGTCGGTATCGGCGCCATCCTCGTAAGCAAGCCGTGACGCGCCGCTGGTGGATGCGGCCGCAGAGTCCCGTTTGGTCTTGGATATGCGTTTGATGGAGGGGGGCGACTTCCCCTGTTTCTTCTGCTCCTTTAACCACACGACGTAAGGAGGGTCCGCCATAGGCTCATCGTCGGATGCTGTCTCCTTTCCCTTGCTACGGGTGCTACGGCGTGGCGGCATGGCTGCACGTTCTGTGCTTGACAGATCTGGGTGATGAGGCTGTTGGTGTTCGTCGGTTGAAACTGTGTCATGCAGATCTGGAAGTTTGTTGCGCTTGTGTTTTTGTGGGATGCAACAACCCTGGTGTGGGAAGGACGCTGTTGGGATGGTGGGTTTGGCTGGGAATGTGGAGCCGCGCAGATCTGAATGTGACCTTTCCCGCCGGGAATTTTGACGGTGGCTGGGGTGGGGTCAGACGGACTCTCGGCTGATGGCTGTTCGTGGGGGTACATGTACGACTCGGCCGTATTGGCCGCGACGTGTGTTACCAGTATTTTGTTTGGCGCGGATTTTGGCGCCCAAACGAACTGTCGCATGGGGCGCATGCCTCGAGGTTGGTGTTGCGTGTTGTTCTGGGCATCCGCAAATGGCGCATGCCCGGAACAGTGCCCATGCCCCAAACCCGAAATACGCCCTAAGTGCTGCGAGGGCGATAAGGCAAATGCCTGCTGTTACAGCAGTACGGACGAGTGAAATAGACGCGACAGGTTTGCTATGGTTTAGGGTGGTTTGGGTTGGGTTGACTGAGGTGAGAGACGAGGCAACCATGAGGAAGGAAGTTGGAGAGAGGAGGCAACTTCGCACGCACTATGGGCGAGGCAACTAGGAATTGGTGCAAGCAACTGTCGAATGCAGCAGTTATTGAAGGAGACTACATTGATGAATTATCGATAGTTCAAATACCGTCCATAACCGCTACAGTCTGATGCAGAACGGTGATCGAGACAACGCAAATTTTCTTGCTGGGCAATTTGGAGGTTGGGTTGGGCGGTGCGGTGTGATTTGCATTTACGCTTGAGCAGTTTGTGGGTGAAGAGTGCGATGCGAAACACGGTCAGCCTGAAACCGCTTCTCCTGATGTCCAGTCAGCGGCCAGGCTGTCAGGAGATAAAACGGTTTTAGCTTATTTTGGTCTTCCTCCTACAGTAATTACTCCCACGTGGAGAAGGTACACCCTGTTTCGCGCTAGCAGAGCATCTGGTTGCAGAACATGCACAGGTTGTAGAACGTCACCACGTTTGAAATGGTCTTATCACCGACGGTACAAGCACATTCACAAGAAAGCGGTTAGCTAGGATGCTGCATGGTAAAGAACATTAACCAAGCGTTTCAAAGCGGTTAAAAAGGGTATACAGCGATAAAGAAAATTTTGCCCCCAGTACCACTCCGTCAGCTGGTGCGGCTTTGCCCGCAGGTTTCAGCCATACGGTTTATGGCACCTGACCGCACTGTAGCAGCGAATCGCGCAAGGTGAGAGGGTCGAGAAACAGGGTGTAATGTCTAAGCGTGGCAGGCACGACACAAATTTCAAGCGTCAATCCCAGTCATTCAACTCCTGCGCCTTCAACAATCTCAAATCACCCCCTACAGTGACACAGGCAACTATTTTTCTGCACTAAACGGGATATAAGTACTATAATTGTAGCGATAGCTTTCATGTGATTATGTTAAAACGGGACACTCTTGTTCAAGGATTCAACGGATTGGCAGGGTTCCACGAGTACGCGACGAGCACGAGAAAGCCCGTGATCAACGCGAACCACGCCATTGCGTTGTCTGCATCACACAACAAACATCAACAACTAGAGAAAAAAAAACAAAACAAAATATTTAAAATGATGAGTGCATTCAAACGCCTACCTTGCTGCAGTTTTATCAGCCTTGGACGGTCGTCGATCTCCGAATCTGACACGTCACCCTTAGATGCTGCAGCTGCTGCCAACCGGTCTATTTCGTCCATATCAATTGGACTCACACCAGGAGCCTTTCCAAAAGGGCTCCAATTTTTGAAGGGGAAAGGTAAGGGAGGGAGGGAGTCAGTGAATTTAAAGAATGCAGGGGGGAGCAAAGTTTTTTCCTCCTCCCTGCTTTCTGCCCTGCTTCCGGTGTCGTCAGGATTAGTGAATATCTCAAAGGGTGGTTCTGATTTGATCAGTGTCGCTGGTAGTGGTGTACTTGCCTCCTTTGCTGCAGCAGCTGCTGCGGCTGACGAGGGTGCAACTGCGGCTGATGGCAATGATTCTGCTGCTACTGCTGCTGACGATTTTGCTGCTGCTGCTGCTGCTGATGAAGATGAAGCGGATGCAGTTGCTACATATGCAGAAGCCATGACTGGCACAGGCACTGGAGCTATAGCTTTTTCAGGAAGTTGACTTGGAGGTGAAGAAACAGGGAGATTGGGGACATCCTTTGCTGTGATTTTTGTAGGTACGATGGGAGGGAGGTCCGGTATAGTAGGCAGGTTCGGAGAAGCAGGGAGGAGAGGCGCAGGAACGGTGGACTCACTGTTGAGAGCAGTGGCTCTGAAAGAGAAGAGAGGGCAGTCGTGGGAATATTTTCAAATGGATTCTCACTGCTGTGAATTTAAAAATATTCATGTTAATCTAGCATACAGTGGGTGGACTCACTGTCACGACAGGCGGATTTGAGAGAAGAAACGGCAACAGTTGTGGGTGGGGACGGATGGATAAGGTTGGGGGAGGGGGGGGGGAGGGAGGGGGGGATCCGAGGTGTGTGGAGAGATGTTGGTCACGGTTGAAATCAATAAAAAGAAAGCGTATTCTCGTACGCATTCAGTTAGCCCACCCATGACTCAGCTAGACCTTTCAGCAGCAGCCAAATAACTGGCAATGTCGTTGCCAGCTGACCTCCATTTCCCATTTCCCCTTTCTTCCCCTCCCCCTCCCCCCTCTCTCCTTCCCCGTGCGCACAAGGAGTCGACTCACCTCACCGTACAGGTACCTCACGTGGGCTTCAATTCAAGGATGGATGGGACCGCTCCGCTCTGATGATCAAAGAATCAGAACCAAGGCTCACCTGCCCTTCGCCCATGACTTTTGAGGCGCCTCAAAGGTTAGTAACCAAGGCTCACCTGAACGTTCGCCACAACTGAACTGAAGCTGTTGAAAATTCCAATGCATGTAGTAGAGAACTAACCACGGCTCAGCTGTCTTTCATCCATGACCGAAGCCCTTTGACCACGAAGTGAAACAAACTAGAGATCAACACGCACACAGCCACCCATGACCTACACCCTTTGACAAAGCAGGCCAACAGTGATGAGACACTTTTATGTCAATTTAGAAAACCTCCTATTTAAAGAAACAATAACCGAAACTCACCCGGCTTTCATCTATGACTGAGTATCTTTGACCAGCATGCCAACAGCGATAAGGCATTTTTTTTTGTTGTCAACTGAGAAAAACTCCCATACAAAGAAAACAAAAACCGAAACTCACCTAGCTTTCACCCATGACTGAATTCCTTTGACCAGCAGGCCAACAGCGAGCACTACCGCTGCCAGGTGACCCCTCGTCAGTAGCACGGCCGAGCCATCCGCGATCCCGAGCCTCCCTTTCAGGTTCGGCGGGAGAGGCAGGGCTTGCACGCTTTCCTGCAGCTGCTTCGGCAGGGCGACAGGCTCGGCAGCAGCCGTCGCTAGGCTCTGCCATGCGCTGCTGGACGCACGTTGAGCGCGACTTAAAGCCTCTTGCGCTACCGCAGAAATGGCGGGAGAAGGAGTCTCCGTTGCATTTGTTGCTGATGGTGCTTCGCTTGGTGGCACGTCTTGAGGAGACGCAACTTGTACTGATTCTGCTGCTGTGGTTGTGTCTGCGGCTGCGGCTGCGGCTGCTGATGCATCTGATTCCGCTGCGACAGCCGTTTCCGAAGCAGAAGCATCCGCAGGTACGGCATTAGGAACGGAGGTATCAGCAGGTTCGGGGGCAGCAGCTGTTACCGAACCAGTAGTAGCAGGCACGGAGGTACTAGAATCAACGGGAGGGGAATCAGCAGTAGGAGGAGAAGAATTAGCAGGGACCTCCGTGGAAGGGCTATTAGCAGATGAGCTAGTGTTAGCCGTTGATTTCTTTTTCGCGCTTTCCCCCCGCCAGCCATCGTGTCGTCTCTGCAGGTTCCGCCTGTCGCGAGCCGCGTCGTCGGCTTTCGAAATCTTCGCTTCAACGACCACCAGCCGTCTTTTCTCGCGAGGTAAGGCGAACTGGCGGTGACGTTCAAAGCGGTGGTTACCCGGAAAAAAACTTCGCAGGAAGGAAGTCTGCGAAGAGGAACCGGCGCTTGAGCGATAGCGTACTAATGTAGGGTTCCGCGGCCTGTAGTTGAGGCCGGGAGTGCGGATAGTTGCGACCGCCATTATCTCGACTTGTGAGCTCAAGTTCCCCAACTACAGCTGCGCGCTACACGTGAGGCGTACTTCAGAAGCTAAGAATTTAGATTATAATGACGGTAAAAGCAGAAATCTGGTTCTTTTACCGCCGATAGATAGTACAATGACGGATCGCAGGGTGAAAGAGATAAGCGCTAACGTAGTTCGCCGAGTGTCTGCCTCATCTCGACCAAGTGGAAAAACAACGTGACCTGTCGTTCTGCGGGCATGCAGCAGTGCACGCCGTCCGCTAGCCAAGCTTCCTCTGCTCAGACCGACCCCAGCGCAGACAACTGTACTTGACTGAATATTATTTCTTATGGCAGGGGTAAAAGTCGGCCATTTTGGGGGGGGAATGCCGCAAGACTGACTCAAAACCGCAGTGCACCAATGCTCTATCACCCTGTACCCCATAAATCGACCCTTGCAAGGCGATGCTCAACAAGAGTTCAAGGTACTCCCCCGAGTTTGGTTTCGACCTTGAAATTGCTTGAAAATGCGCACGTCCGCTGGTGGTGCCATGAAGCGAATCCAAATGCTTTTGGCGGGAAATCCAAGCTGACGGTGCCACGAGCAGTGCTGTTCCTTAGAAACATTGCGCCAAGCCGTTGCCGTGTCAGAAGCAGATGAGTTGACGTCAGCACAATCCGAGACTTCACATTCGATGGTGCTTATCGAGTCAAAACTTGTTTGCTGTATAGGGTCCAATCTCTTCATACTTGCTGGTACTTCCAATCTCCCTACACAAAAATATACAGGAAAATATGTCAATGGTAACTTACATGGGGAATTATAGCGCGTACGGTAACGATTTCAACGCGTTTGGTAACTCGTTTAACGCGTTTGATAACTCGCTTAATGTAAGGAATTTGCCAATTCCTTACTGTAGCCTTGCCCGAGAGCCGAAACTAGCCACGGTAGTAGTGAACCCATGGACGGCTTGAACATGAAGCTGGGTTTAGCGATCGAAACCATTGTCGTGCAACCGACGTGCAAGTACAAAAATGCGACTCCTTGTACAAGCGGCAAATTTTGTTTTGGTGGGAGCCAATCACGTAAGCTCGATCTGTTTAGACGGGTTGTTTGAAACAGTGTTTTCGATCGCTTCAACGGGCTTACGAAAAAACTCATTTTCTAGTTGGGATGGGGTTCACTATTTTAGCTGCTGGCTTTAACGGGTACAGCCCGAGTACTTCGCGTCAGGTGTGTGAAAGAAAGGAGGAGTCTTAGGAGCCATAGCTAGGACAGCCCTAGCTAGGCAGGAAACAGTTTAGGCAAAAGAGGGGGTTCACTAGCAGGAATGGGGATACAAATAGCAAACCCTAGAAGGGTTGTACTCGCTATAGAGCACCCCACTACAGGCTAGAGCATAGCATTCTGACACACCCCCATAGCCAAAGTGGGGTGTAATCAGCAGAGCAAGCAAAGCAGTACAAGCTCAGGGTGGATCACAATGTCACCACACATTCTGAGCACAAGTTCAAGAAGCAATAGTTTAAAGTTCACAATTATGAGCAAAGCTAGTGGTAGTCACAACGGGCAAGTGAGGAGGAGGAGGGACAGTGAGAGGAGAGGAGATAGGAGGCGACGGCTGAAGCTGCAGACACATGGGCAACAGGAGGCACACTGGCACAGCGGCTACCGGAACAACGCTCCGGACTACTGGAGTAGCAGGCCCCGCGGCTAAAAGTAGCGGCAGACGAGCAACGGACCCACGAGCGACTGGCACAGGTGGCTGCAACTGGGCTACCGGAGCAACTCCGCGGACTACAGGTGCTGCTAGCGACACGACGGCAACCTCCGTTCAGCTTCCCCAAACAGTACCACCCCCCCTGACACACACCCCCTGCTTCACCCCTAGCTCCACTCCCCCTTCACCCCCCCTTAGTACCACTCCGACGGCTCCAACATGTCCACCCCCCCTCAGCGGCAGCTGCAGCACAGGGAGACGGAGGAGGAGGAGGAGCAGGGAACGGCACACAGAAGCTGCACCCCCATACCCCCCACCCCCAAACCCTAATCCAAGAGAACGGGCAGAAGGAGGGGTGGGGCGCCTTCAGAAGCACGGGGGACAGCGGGGAGGGCAGGGGCAGCGAAGAACGGGCCTCCCACGGGCCTGGCACAGCCTCCCGAACCGCGCGCAGGCAGCCCGAGCCGCGCGCGGGCCTGGCGCAGCCCGTACGGGTCGCGCACGGGCCTGGCGCAGCCTGTATGGGCCGCGCGCCGGCTGTACGGGCCGCGCGCAGGCCACGACGGGCGACAGGGGGCGACGCGCGGGTCCCCGTCGCCCGTCGCAGCGCCTCCCGGGAGCAACGCGCGGCGTGACGGGGCAGAAACCCGCCGCGCGCCTCGGGGCGCACGGCGGGCAGAGAACCACCGCGCGCCTCGGGGCGCACGGCGGGCAGAAAACCGCCGCGCGCCTCGGGGCGCACGGCGGGCAGAAAACCGCCGCACGCTCCGAGCGCACGGCGGGATGAAAACCCTAATCTCGACGCCGCACACCACGGGGCGCGCGGCGGACAGGGAGTAGCAGTAGCAGCGGAAGCAGTGAAGTGGGGCCCACAGGCCAGGAGCATATAGCTCTGATTCCATGTGAAAGAAAGGAGTAGTCTTAGGAGCCATAGCTAGGACAGCCCTAGCTAGGCAGGAAACAGTTTAGGCAAAAGAGGGGGTTCACTAGCAGGAATGGGGATACAAATAGCAAACCTTAGAAGGGTTGTACTCGCTATAGAGCACCCCACTACAGGCTAGAGCATAGCATTCTGACAAGGTGGCTCGGCCTACACTTCTGCACCGAACCAATGCCGAGTCGCCCCGCACCAATCGCGACACATCCAAACCATCCATGTCCCGAGGTCCTCGCCTAGCACGGTTTCGACCCTATAAATGCGTGCTCCTTTATCATTCTTGAATTCAATAATTCTGTAATTCATTCTATTTATAGAAGTCTTCCGCACACTGTGTCTAGTAAAAATCATAGCACTTGGTGTCAGAGCTACTTTCCTAGCTTTCCCGTTTTTTAGAGTGTATTACCCCTTGGGGGGGGGGGGGGGACAGGGAAGGATGCCGCGGTGACAGGAGCAGCGCAAGAGCCGGCCAGGAGAACGGGTAGTTGCTCCTAGCGGCCATGAATTTCAAGGCGCTCCTTCGGCACCGACGGATCCTTGCCCTCGACGGTCGAGATGGACCGTGGCCTCCCTCCCCACGGGTGGCGGACAGCTTTCGCTGTTGTCGCAATTAATGCGTGGGTTAATAGTGTCAGAATATTATTCTTATGTTCTAGCCTGTAGTGGGGTGCTCTATAGCGAGTACAACCCTTCTAGGGTTTGCTATTTGTATCCCCATTTCTGCTAGTTCATTCCTCTTTCTTCCTTCTAATTTTGTCATTCTATCAGAGCAGGTCGATCCCCTTGGATCGATCCTGTGGGTGGGTTACCACCTCGCTTCCGCTGCTACTTTTTCCTCCCGCCGTGCGCCCCGAGGCGCGCGGCGGTTTTCTGCCCGCCGTGCGCCCCGAGGCGCGCGGCGGTTCTTTGCCCGCTGTGCGCCTCGAGGCGCGCGGCGGGCTTCTGCCCTACGTCGCGGCCCCGCCTTGCGTCGCGGCCCAGCCCCTCGAAGCGGCCCCGACCGTCGCGGCCCCGCCCCTCGACGCGGCCCCGCCCTACGTCGCGGCCCCGCCCTGCGTCGCGGCCCCGCCCCTCGAAGCGGCCCCGCCCTATGTCACGGCCCCGCCCCGACCGTCGCGGCCCCGCCCCTCGACGCGGCCCCGCCCTACGTCGCGGCCCCGCCCTGCGTCGCGGCCCCGCCCCTCGAAGCGGCCCCGCCCTACATCGCGGCCCCGCCCCTCGTCGCGGCCCCGCCCCGACCGTCGCGGTCCCGCCCCTTGTCGCGGCTCCGCCCTCCAACCAGGCCCGTGGTGGGCCCCTTTCACCACACCGCCCCCCCCCCCCCCCCCCCCCCCCCCCCCCCCCCCTTCCCCCTGCCATTTCCCGTCGCCCGTCGCGGCTCCTTCGGGGGCCGCGAGCTGTGGGGTGGCGGGTATGGGGGTGGCCGGTGTGCCTTCCTCCCTTGCTCCTCCTCCTCCTTCGTCTCCCACTGCTGCAGCTGTCGCTGAGGGGGGTGGTTGTGTGGGAGACTGGGGTTTAGGGTTTAAGGGGGGGTGCGTGGGAGTAGAGCTAGCGGTGTAGCAGTGGGTGTGTATCAGGGGGGTGGGACTGTTTGCGGGAGGTTGAGCGGAGGCTGCCGGCTTGTCGTCCGCAGCACCTATAGTCCGGGGCGCTGTCCCGGTAGCCCAGTCGTAGCCAGCTGTGCCAGCCGCCCGTGGGTCAGTTGCCCGTCCGCCGCTATTTGAGCCGCGGGGCCTGTTACTCCTGTAGTCCGGGCGCTGTCCGGTAGCCGCTGTGCCAGTCTGCCTCCTGATGCCCGTGTGTCTGCAGCTTCAGCCGTCGCCTCCTGTCTCCTCTCCCCTCACTCTCCCTCCTCCTCCTCACTTGCCCGTTGTGACTACCCCTAGCTTTGCTTATAATTGTGAACTCTAAACTATTTCTTCTTGAACTTGTGCTCAGAATGTGTGGTGACATTGTGATCCACCCTGAGCTTGTTTTGCTTTGCCTGCTCTGCTGATTACACCCCACTTTGGCTATGGGGGTGTGTCAGAATATTATTCTTATGTTCTAGCCTGTAGTGGGGTGCTCTATAGCGAGTACAACCCTTCTAGGGTTTGCTATTTGTTTCCCCATTTCTGCTAGTTCATTCCTCTTTCTTCCTTCTAATTTTGTCAAATAGTAGTCGTTTTCGGCAATTTCAGAGTTAATGCTATGTAGCGGCTGACGTCGGCAGGCTCGTCGTCGGTGCACGTCCGAAGTTTTCGGAAGCAAGATTGTCGTGCGAGTTGCGTCGGCACGTGGTCGACAGCTGCGCGCGACAATTACGGAGCTAGCTACGTGCGGCAAGTGGCGATAGGCGTCTTCGTCACGTTGCGCACGAGCTAGTGGAAGTCTTCGGCAAGTGGCTCGTCGTCACTGTGCGCGAAGATTTCGGGTAGCAGCACGTGGAAAACGACTGCTGGTTGAGCAGCCAGGCGCAATGTGTGATTTGCGTCAGAAAATCCGATGGCGAGGAGAGGCGGCGTGGCGACTGCCCGAAGAAAACGGGGGTCTACCGTCGTCCCACCCGGTTGGGGTGCGTCGTGGGCGATTTTCGGCAGAGCGGCACAGTGTGGGATGGAAGTCATTCTTCAAACCACCGACAAGTTCGGAAAAATCCGACTACGACCAGACTGTTCCGGCTTGGGTGACTAGTGTTTCTGGCACATTGATAATCGGCGAATTTTTCGGAACAACAGTAGCCGATTCTGCACTTTATGCGGCACAGTTCCCTCCGGCCAGAGGTACCTGTGTTTGCAGACAGCCCAGTACACCACGGAACAACGATTCGGCGCAGCGTCTAGACCCGCGAATTTCGCATGGTCTACCGGCTACAATAAACAGAGTTGCGACTAATACGGGTCCGGCGAGAGAAAAGGGTTCCGACTTCAGAAGGCGAGAAAAACGACCTACAGAAAAGATTTTTTGCTGAGGCCAAGTTTCACGGCTAAGCGGCAGTAGCAGAACTAGCTCCCTACCGGCCAAGGTCTTACGACGTTTCACATACCTCACACCAGAAAAGCCTCGAAGGCAATTCGTAAGTCCTGATGGCTACTAGATAAAAAGGTGGGGCCCTGTGTTTCAGCCCTGTGCTGGTTAGAAAGGCATGGGTGGCGCTGGTTCGACAAAAGGGCGTACAAGAAAACATTTTGTGGTGCGACACTGTTCGGCCCCGACAAAATCGGACCATCGGCAACGTTTCCCCTGCCGAAAAAGTCGGGACTGAAAAAATCGTGGCAGCTATCGGAGTTTCTCCTGATTCAACGGTCTACCCAAGGGCGGTGTAGCGGCGAAGATGGAGTT